CTACATTACACTATTTCTACCCTTGTAAAGTTCACTAGAACCTTAGTACTCATCTTTCTGGCATCTTCTCCATCATTCCTTACTAGCCACAACTCAGAACCGTCAGTCTCATTTATTCAGACTACCAATCCAGATGGCCTGGTATAGTATACTTTGTATCCTTTTCTTCCAGCAAACCTGGTGGCCTGGTTGGTTATGTGCTCCTCTACACATATTTGTCGTCTGGTTTTAACCTTCGATTCCTATGAAGGTGTTTCATGGGCTTCAACCAGTCCAATGGTACTGTTGAAAGTTCACTAGTTAACTTTATTCACATGATTCATTTGTATTATTGTTAATCTTCAATTTTAAAAGTTTTAAATTGATTAACTACAAATTTAACTACTCTTCTAATTAATTTTCAATTTATATTACTATTATTAGATACATCTAATATTGCAAAAGAGAAAAAAAATCAACAAATCAATCAATATTTATTTTTTGAATCATTATTAAATCAACCAAGTGAAGTACTAATAGAAAATGAACTGGAATGATACTTGACCTTTCTATTTGCTCCTGAAGAAAACCCACTTATATGATAATATAAATTTGAAAAAGATTTCCTGACACTTAGTAAGATAGCCAAAAACTATCTATCTATGCAAGGAATTAGTGTTCCAAGTAAACAGGCATTTTCTCTTGCTGCTCATACTGTTACAAAGATCAGAAATAGTCTTGTGTCAGATTCAGTACATCTACATTGTGTCTAAAAAGTTGGATAACTCAAGTATGACTTGATGATAATGAATTTTAACCTTATATCATTCATTGTGATATTTGGTTTTTTTTTTAAAGAATTAGTTATGTATCTAATTCTTTTTTTTTTTTTTTTTTGAGAACTAAGAATTCAAATTGTTTTTTGGTTTTTTTTTTTTGGATATAGATTCTGTTGGGCTTATTAAATATGAAATTTCATATAAAGCATATCATATAGCTTATATATATATATGAGCTAGCAAATATATAGAATTATGTTCGCTTATGTTTTTGTAAAAACTGAAAACACAAAATAAAATTGATTGGTATTGATCTGACTTTACAATTTTAAAAAATATTAACCAGGTAACATATAATGACTGTGTCAGATTTGAAAAAAGGTTTTAGTTGGTACAAGTAACCATATACTGGTATAATGCAAATAAATCGGATTATTTCATTATTTCATGACTTAAAAATATTCGAATCAGCATGGAATCGTATTTTAATTTGACAAACCAGTTTGTTTTTTAGTTTTAATTTATCTGAGTTAACCGGTTAATGAAGTTTCTACCCAGATAAGAGTGTTTATATGAATTAACTAAGTAATCCTAATCTCTAGAATCGATAATAAATGTTGCTTAATCTCACATTTGCTTCAGTGATAAGAAGATATGCTGTACTTGAAAAGTCAATTGTTAGTAACTGCAGCATAATTATTTTATATATGTTAAGCAATCATATTACTAGATACTGATACCACGAGTAATTGTCTGGAGTATAATACTTCAGATTATACTTCGGATTATACTTTGATTTATTATTTTAGATTAATACTTTGGAGTAAAACTACAAAGTTTGGTTTGTAGTAGTTTACTTCAAAGTGGTGTGGTTTTAGAAGCTACTCTGGCAGAGTATGCTCCACACCACTCTAGATCACTCTATTAACAGCCCTACCTACAGCTCTAATGAATCTTCTATACAGCTTTTTTTTTATTTCATTAAGATTAGTTTTCGATTTTTAAAAAAGTACTCAAATAATGTAAAAGTAAATTGAATTTATTAGCCAATCAGACGAACTTCTGCCTATGAATTATCATCAGTGTTGGGCTGACCAGACCAGTCTGGTCAAGTATCTTTGACATTGGTCTAGTTATATGAATAAATCGACCAATTTGACTATAATCAAATTTGCTTGAATGGTCTTATTTGTTAATTTGGTTCATATTACTAGACCGTTTGACCAGAAACCTTTTGACCAATGACCAGTAAATTTATAGTTGATGCAGATATCTTTGATATCGATTATTTGTTTAACCAATATCGATGATTATCAATCAAAATTAACCAAATCTATTCGTATTACGTACGTATAATAAGACTTTTTTTCTTCTTACCAAAACAATGTTTACAAAATATCAAAAGATTAACAAAATTAAAATTTAACAAATTGTATAAATATACCCAATCAAATATTTAAGACATTGCCTGTAATGCAAATTTAAACTGATTGAAATTTAGCTTATACTAAAGTAATTTAGGCCGATGATCATCAAAATTATTGATTTTGGCCGGAAAATTAATTTGGTTACAAAACAAGAAATTAGTGTTAGGCTGTTCTACGGTGAAATTGGCTTAACGTTAGTTATAATTTCCACTTAATGAGCAGCTGCAGTTTCATTAAACTTGTTTTGTATATAGTTTCGACCTATTCTTTTCACGCATTTTTGTGAATAAAATTTTTAAAATGGCTAATTAAAATGTCTTGACTATATCGTTTCGTTTTGACGAAATTTGATTGGATGTACTATGTGATTTGCTGTCGCCTCATTTGACCCTCGTGATGATGGCACGTGTGGTGATTGGGTGTATGTTGCACGATACGTAATCAAATTTTGTGAACACGATTTGATTTACTATAGGTGAATTACACGATGAGTTTGGTACGACGACAAAAATAGTTAAGGATCATTCACCGAGATACCGAGATAGCATTTTCTTTAAACAAGATTCTTCAGATATTTCATGAACATCAACATATAATATATATTAAAATACGCATGCATAAACATAAATTGCGCAAACGCACTTTTTGATAATGTAAATTCAGTTGGAGTTTTAAATTGATAATTTATATAAGATCAAGTATAGAATCAAAAATTATACTCTAATTAGTCTCTGGTTCTTTTAAAAGACAATGCCATCGAACCTTTCTACTACTCTATTGGACGATATTGCTCGATTATACATTGATGCTGATGATTATAACGTCATTATCACTGCTGGACAAGGTGATGATGCTAAAGTTTTTAGAGCGCACACTGTGATTTTACGATCGAGATCTTCTTATTTCAGAGTTGCATTATCGTCTAATTGGGCCAAGAAAATACCATCACAGTATAATCACGGATTTCACACTCAATGTGACGCATTATATTTTAATAAACCTAATATTTCACCAAAGGTTTTTGAGATTGTCTTAAAGTATGTTCAGTTTGCAAAAAATATAGAGGCTTTTTGCTTTTTAAGAATAATTATTAACGTTAAACCGTAAATTTATAAGATACATCTACACTGGGACATGTTCCCTCGAAGCAAATGATATTCTTCTTGATATATTAATCGCCTCAGATGAATTTGGACTCTTTGAATTAGTCAATTACGTGCAGGAATATATTATTTCTGACGAAACCGGGTGGTTGCACAAGAATTTTGTCAAAGTCTTTAAAGTTGCATTGAGGCATGATGAATTTCATCTACTTCGAGAGCATTGTGGAGAACTTATCAGTCAACAACCTGAATTACTTTTTAATTCAAGTGATTTTGCTACATTGGAAAAATCTTGCATGATATTTACTTTAAAAAGAGATGACATTGCTATGGATGAAATTGAGATTTGGGATCATATGATTACATGGGGAATTGAGCAGCATCCACAACTTAATCCTGATATTTCAACTTGGACTCGTCAAAATTACGATACGTTACATGCAAGATTAAAGGAGCTTTTACCATTAATTCGATATTTTGACATACCTGAAGATAAATTTTATGATAAAATTTGGCCGTTCAAAAAATTTCTTCCAAGAAATCTCAAACAGTCATTGACAAGATTTTATATCATACCTGGAATTAAGTCACCTTCATGCGCTTTACCACCAAGAATTGCACAGTATTCCCCAAAATCTAAAATAGGATTTAATGGCTTACATGCGGCTCTTGTCTCTAATTGGATTAATCATGAAGATAACGAAATACCAACCACAAGTTCAAATATCCCTTATAAATTTAAACTTTTACTTCGTGGTAGTAGGGACGGTAGGAATGTTGTAACTTTTCATGAGCTTTGCGATTTTAAAGGTGCCACAATAGTTTTGATTAAAGTTATGGAAACGGGTGAACTTATTGGCGGATATAACCCAAATTCTTGGACATCATCAGATAGATATATTCGAACTACTGAAAGTTTCATATTCTCTCTTGGAAATAATATGCAGGATCCAAGCAATTATGTTTTGAGTAGGGTTAGGTTTGCTGAATTTGCAATCAGAGATTCTTCGTCAGTTAACACATCTATCGGATTTGGAAACGACTTTTGGTGGTTCGAAGGAAAATGTATGCATTTTAATTATAACAAAAAAATACTTGATACGCGACAATTTTTTTCTATGGAAGATTATGAGGTATTTCAAGTTGTCAAGAATGAATGATCATAGCAGAAAGATGGTTCTTTTTTTTTTTGTTATCTGGATTAAATGAAATACATTCCTTTAAAATATATTTAATATGTTTAGTATTTTCTTAATTATATGTCTTATTATCATTACTAGATCTTAAATAATATTAATATGTAGTGTTCTGTATGTTTCATGATGCGTCGTAAATTTAATAATAGGTTTAGATCTAACACGTTTTTATTGCTGATTTGTGAGAATCATTTTTTAAAAAATGGTAGTAATAATATTAGACTTCGACAATAATGATGTAATAATACTGCGCCGATATTGTGATTATGTAATTAGACTCCTGAACTTCATTTAAAATAAATAATCTTATATATAATCATGGTTGGATGATATATATATATATAATACACTTGCCAGTTTCCCTTTTTATTTTAAATAATACGATACCACTAAGCAATCTTTTATTGATTTGCTTTATCGTAATTCATGGACTAAAAATGCACTTGGAAAAAAAATTAACAAATTTTTATTAGTCAATTGTCCTTTCTTTGTGATGATAAATACTGTACGATACGTATAAATATTGTTTTATATTATTTAAAATATATATTAATTACTTTTAAAAGATTTTTTTTTTATAAAAATTTTAATGAAAATTAAGTTCAGCCTCATCTTTTTAAAAGTAAAACAAAAAGAACAAACAAAACACTTACCTTTTTGAATTTTAATAATTGTCTCGTATATAATAAATACGGGGCTTATTCTAAATCTTTACGAAAATAACTTGATTGGTCACATGACCATAATGTTATGCAAAGTACTAATGTATGACAAATCTTAATTCTAATATAGTGCACCAATAAAACCTTCATCTTTGCATGTGATACACAATAAAATCGCTTAATAAATGTGGAATAGCCAAATTTGGACAGTATTCAAAATACAATCGCGAGTTATGTTATTTATATTGGTGTACGTAAACATTGGATGTACTATGGCGAACCTATAGCATTAATCCATTCATTTACTTAATATTTCCTTAGCTTTTCAGGAATTGGATTCCATAATCATGGTTTCGTTCCAATAATGTTTCGAAACTCTCCTAAACATTCCTTTAGTTTTTACATTTCCATTACTTCAATAGAAATCATTGATTTTTTTGCGGGCTTCATTCAATCAAAATCATTAGCTTTTGATGTCATCGATTCCTTTAGTTTATTTAACTTGTTAGTATATAAAAAAAAAGTACTTACAAAAAATGGAGACAAATCCAAGAAATAGTAGTAGCTCTTCGTCAGGAGATGATTATAATTCTTTTAATTCAAATCGAACATCATCATCGTCAAAATCATCATTATTTGATGATATAGAAATTAAACAACATATTGATGTTTATGGTACATGCAAAGAATGTCAATCTCCTAAAACTAGCGCCGAATGGTGTAGAAAATGTAATTCAGACCGATTTCGTGAAAGCTTTAATCTTTGGAGCAGTGGAAATAAGGACATTGATAATTTCATTTCGACTGCTCAATTGAACGCGATTGGTTGTTCCCAAGTTTTAGAATGGATCCCTTGGGAAAGATTCTCAAGGATTAAACATGTTGGGTTAGGACGTTTCGGTTCTACCTATTCTGCTTCATGGATAGATGGTTATATTACTCATTGGGATAATAGAAAAGGAATCTGGGGGCGTTGCGATTCTGGAACAAAATTTACTTTAAAAATTATTCAAAATTCTTCAAGTAATATTTCTGATTTTCTTAATGAGGTAATTATATTAATTTGTTGATAGTTCATAATTTTACTATATTCTTACACAAATACAATTATTTCGTTATATTATTTTTAGTTAATATCTCATAAAAATGGCCGAAGTGGTCTAATAAGATGTTATGGAATCACTCAGCATCCTATCACACGAGATTATGCGCTAGTAATTCGTTGTCTAGAAAGTGATTTTAGGAGCCATTTATATAAAAAAGTACCTTTTCCAGAACATGATTGGAAAACGAAATTAGAAATTATTGCCGATATTGCCTTGATTCTCCATCGTATTCATGAATCAGATTCAATTCATAGAAATTTTCATACGGGAAATATATTAAGGCAAATGAATTCGATAATAATTACAGAATTAAATATGCCCAACATGGGTGATGACTCTCCAACAATATCACATGCTAGTGGAGGAATATATGGTGTGCTTCCTTACATCGCACCAGAAGTATTACGCGGTGGACCATTGAATAAAGCTTCTGATATATATAGTTTAGGTATAATTATGTGGGAAGTTGCAACTCAACGACCACCTTTTGATCTTAATGCACATAATAAATTTTTGGCTCAAAGAATTTGTTGTGGGCTTAGACCCCATATTGATCAAAATATGCCAAAATCTTTGGCCAAATTAATTAAAAGGTGTTGGGATGCAAATATAGAAAATCGTCCCGAGGCTGAAGAAGTTTATATTTGGGTGCAATGGTGGTTGGATCTATGTAATGATTCTGCATCAGATATCGCTGCTGAATTTAACATCGCTGACCAAGAAGGAAAATTAAAAGATGGTCTATCATGGATACATCCAGAAACTATTTATACTTCACGATATTTAGAATTTCAAAGTTTACCAGAACCTGAAAATTTTTCTCCCGATACTTACCATCACATGGTTGCTTTCTGTGCAAGAATTCGTATGTCATCATATCATTCTATTTAAATCTAACTTATTGTTACTTCCTACATTTTTGATTGAAATTTATCGTAAAACTTCTTTGCAGACCATTCAGACGATCTTGATTGCCATTTAGATTCTGAAATTACAGACATTTTTGGTTAGTAGTCTTCTCAATAGCCTTTTCATAACAAAACATGAAATTGACATTAATTACTCATGGTCTCTTTAAATAGCCTTTAATTCACAATTTTCTCGTCGGCCGTCAACTTTTCTTGACGGTTCAAGTGCTTCTACTCCAACCAATACTTCAAAAGAATCATTACTATATCGTATGCCTGGCGCTTATATAGGTGCTTAAATTTTATTGGCTTTTTTTTTGTTAACTTTTAATGTAAAAAAATACTGACTTGGTGCCGTTTTACCGTTTTTACTCTTTACATTCTAAATAAACAGGTAGTGTTTCGGACAGTATTGACACTTGGAAAGGTAATTAAGGCTATCATTATCTAGTCTTTTGTTAAATAATTATACAAAAGTTTGACTAATATTATATATGTATCTTTGTTTTTTAAAAAAGTAGATATAGGGAACTATACACATCACTTAGTAATGTATCTTATACCTCATGCACTTTCATTGGTTTTCCCGACACTTCCTTCATTATACAAATCCTTACCACATCATTTTAGAATAAGTTTACTCGCAATTACATTTTATGCTTTATTTTCTTGCATCTTTGCAATTTTCAAATTGGTGCAGGTTTTTTTATTTTTTTACTAAGCTTTTTTTTCTTGTTTCTTTCTGGATGCTTTGATTTAATTGTTGTTGCCTATACGTTTATATATATTGTTGGAGGAATTAGAGTCTTTACAAATTGGATAGAAGTTGCCTTTATGTTTACTGATTACTTTCTAGTACCCCCTGAGAAAGTGGATGTTAAAAATAAAGGTTATAGATGCAAGGGATGTAAATGTTAATAGAAAAAAAAATAGATATAATATCTTTAGGCAAATAATTAAGTGGGAAAAACGATTATTTCAACAGACATCTGTAAGTCAAACAAGTTTTTTTTTGCTAAATAAAACATAAAATGTAATCAGGATTTGTTATTTTTTTTAAAAAAAAACTAAGTTATCGCTTTCAGTGTTTAAATACTACGAACCTATTTAATAGGCGCTTCACTGTTCTTAATATAATTTTATAAAAGAAAAACAATGTTATCATTCAGATTTGTGAAATTCAAAGTTTTTTTTACACAAACGCCAAGTACTTAAATCAATTTTTTTAAATTATCAAAAAATTCATATACTAATAATCTATGAAATAATACTTTATATTTTGCCAAAATTGGTTACCTAAAAATTAATGCTACTATATAGGTTGCTGAATAATATTTTGATTTGTATTAAATCTATCATGATTTGTATAGTGGTTTACCGTCAAAGTTCATGTTCGTACTTGCCGACTATTGCTGTATTGTAAGAAATTGTATAGTGATTTACTGCAATAAATTTGGTTACTGTAGTCATTCACTATAGCGAGATAAATAATTTAGATATATTAGTTTTATATTGTAACATTCGTTTACACTCTACCCTCGTTATAGCGGACCCCGTTAAAACGGATCCCCCATTATAACGAAGTGATTATCTAGAACATTTTAAAACGTTTATTACTATACTATATAATGCTGTAGCGGATATTCATTCTGAGGGACCAACGTGAGTTTTCCCAGCTCGATCATTCCGTTATAACGAGGGTAGAGTGTATTGTATGGGTGCTTTTAGGCCTAATAGCCAATTAAAAGGCAAATAGATCACGTGCCAGAGTTTCACGTAGCACAACGGTTACGCAAAGCACAATTCTCCCGACGTTGCAAACCAACAAAAAAAAAAGAAAAATAATGTGAAAAATACAAAAAACGGCTATCTAAAATAGAGGCCTGCATTGGGTCCCGCAGCCCGGCCCGGCCTCCAAAATAGGCAATTTACAGGCCCCTAATCTAAAATATTAAAAAAATAATTTTACTTATAATATTTACTTTGGCTATAACTTTTATTTAGATTTTAATCCAAATTATAACTTAATTAATATATTATAATATATCGATATGAGTTAATTGCAGATCCGCATGTGATCAATAGAAATTACTATTACTAGGTAAATGCATAGCATTGTATGTCCGGAACAAGTATTAAATTACAGATTATATTACATTTACTATACTATATATATGCGTTACAATTTGATTGGACGTCAGTCACGTGGTGTGGCCGGACAAACAAACCTTGCATATCACCCTTTACAGAATAATATAGTGTCCTTCACTACGCTCCGGACAAATAAACTATAGCGCTATGTTTTATAACAAAAATAATTGTATTATAAATCTTTGCTTCCTCTAAAAATAAAATGTCAAGTACGCATATAACTCTTAGAAAACTAGTTAAAACTGGTTATATTATTCCAGAGTTTTATTATGGTCCATACTTACGAGATGGTAAATCTTTTTAGAAAACAATTATAACAATTAAGTTTATCTTATTTCTATTTACTTAGAACTTGAAATAATAATTCAACTTAATAAAAAACCTTTTATTTATTTATTTTTTTAATGTTAAGGTGAGTACTTGTGATTTAGAATTTTATTAATAGTATGTTTTGGTTAGCAACTGTTGTATAACAATTATATTAGTTATTGTCTAATTTAAATAGTCTGCTCAAAGGTTTTATACTAGTTATCATATCTAAAACCTGTCTGTAGGTCTTCTATTTAAACACTTTAGATTCTGTATTCACTTTATCCTATTAATAATTCTGATAAACTGATAAAAATATGCTATAATTACTAAGTTATATTTAACTTTGTACTAAACTTACTAAAGCCTTTTGTATTTTATATTTGCAGTTGATCTAAAACTGCTTTGATCTAAACTAGCACTTATAATTAGAGTTAACTATTAAATTATTATATTCTTATAAGGTTTATCTAAATCTTGATACTTATTTTTTTGCTATCTTTTTTATTATCTTTTACTAACTGTTATTTAAAATTAATAGAACTCTTTAGATTTTCAATTCAAATAGTCTAATATATTATATTTTAATATTCTTTTTCTTTAGCAATTCTAGTAGCTTGGTTGATTATATACTCTTTTATACATCTTGTTATTTAGTTTATTTATTTGTTTTTTTGAAGATGTTTTATAAACTTTTATAAATCTAATAGCAATATTAAAAATTTACTATTTTTTACTTAAAATTTTTGAATAGACTTTTAATTTCTTAATTTTTTTATTTTTTGTATCTAATAGTTTTATTATAAGTTTGTACTAAAGTTTTATGCAATACTAATTATTAATATTTTTCTATATATATATAATATTATATTTTATATAGATGTTTTAAGTTCTGATTTAAGATAATATAATTAAAGATTATAAATATATCAATCTAACTGATCAATAGAAACAGTTACTGTAATACAAATATAATTATTAAAATTTGTAATTTATGAGATTTGAACTTTAAATTTACTACTTAGAGCTTGACAATTTGTTTACTTTATTAGATCATTATATTCTTTATAAAAAAAACCTTTTATTATTTGTATAGTTTGCAATATATATAATTTACTATAATTAAATTATATTTATAAAATAGTAAATAAAATAGCAGCATAGTTACAAATATTTTTATAATATTAATATCTGTTATCAAATTGTTTTTGAAACCAAAACAAAATTTTTAGGACTTGTATACTTAGATTTAAATTAAATTAAAATTGCAAAAAATTTATTAAAAATATTTTTTATTTCTTTATTATTAAATTAAAAAATAGTTATTTATTTTTTTTTTTTAATATTAAAGTTCCTGCTTTTGGAATCGATTTTTTTATTCAAGTATTTAGACACAGATGTCTCTAAGAGCTTCTATATATAAGAAGTTACAACTAGTCATATATGCACTTTTGGTACCTAATTTAAGTAGTCTATCTATATATTATTATACAGATTATACACTAAGTGCTATACTTGCAATCCAACTATAGGTCTTGCTTATTTAAACTCTCTGCATATGTAATCTGACTTGTGATAATAAGAACATTTTCTGAGCTACATATATCCAAAGTACTTGATGCTTTTGAGACCTTTAGGACTAGTTTATCTTTAATAAAAAACTTACTAGAACCTTCTGTGTTCTACATATAGCAGATCTAGTTTTATGCAATATGCTATAGTTATCTAACATTTGCAGTTATAAGAGTTACCTGTTTAATCATTACATTATACTATTTCTACCTTTGTAAAGTTCACTAAAATCTTAGTACCTATCATCATGATGTCTTCTCCATCATCTCTTACTAACCACTACTTAGAACTAACAGAACTCTTCTAACTTCCAATTCAGATAGCCTGGTATAGTATACTTATGTATTCTTTTCTTCTAGCAATTCCAGCAGCCTGGTTGGTCATATGCTTCTCTACACATCTTGACATCCAGTTTATCTACCTATCTCTTTGGAGATGTTTCATAAGCTTTCATCAATCTAACCATATTGTCAAAAATTTATGTTATCTCTTTACTTGAGAATTTCTAAGTAGGCTTCTGACTCTTCAGTTTTTTAGTTTACTACACCCAGTGATCTTATTGTAAGTTTGCATCAAAGTTTTATACAATACTAGTTATTAACATTTCTTTATATATGTGTAATGTTATACTTGGCAAAATGCCCCAAGCTTCTATTCAAGATGATATAACTTAAGATTACAGATATACAAATTCAACTGATTATCAAAAGACAGTTTGCTGTAAAACAGGTTAATTTTCAAATTTTGGTATAGATAGGATTTAAACCTTAGACCTGCTATTTGAAGAATAACAACCCAACTACTACACTAGGATCACCATTCTTAAAAATAGTTATTTATATAGATTTACTTAGTAAAATTATATATTTAAACTTAAATAAAGTTAGTTATAATTATAAAACAATATTATTTTATAAATTTAAAGCAAACCAATTTTTTATTTTTCTAATATATTAATAATAATAATTTATATTTAATTGATAATCTACCAATAAATAAAAACATGATCTTAGTACTACATCAAAGGATAATTTTTATATACTAGCTCAAATGCTAAAAATTCATTTATAAAAAAAAACTTCTTAGTTACAAAAAATTTATAAACAAATTTTAAAAACAAAACAAAAATATTTACTAGTTTATTTTATAACCTGTTGTTTTTTTATTTAGTTTGGTTTTTTAAACTTTTAAACAATAGGAAGGCTGATTTAAAATATAAATATATATTTATTTTATATAGCTATACTATAATTTTAAAATACAGCTTACCAAATAATGAAGGCAGTTTTTTGACTTAATAGCTTAGCTTTACTAAAAAGTTGACTTAAAAATAACAACAATTATATATACTAAAGTTATGAATAATCATGATAAGTTTATATAGATCTATATCATTTCACCAT